CCTACTTTCTACGTGAAACACCCTGGACTTCCGGCGACGTCCCGCAGGATCTCGGACGGTTCTCCCGTTGTCGTTGTCGCTCCGGCAACACCCACTTTCTCCCCTGGCCTCGTAACCTCAGAAGTTACCACTTTCCTTCCCTCTCGCCGCCGATCGCAGGGGCGCAGTGCTACCCTCCGTCGTCCTCGTCGTTGTCGACCACCACTACAACCACTTCCACCATGAACCGCTGCCACAACCGTCGTCACCACCGCCGCCGCTGCCACTGCCACAACAAGCAACCAACGGCAGTAGTAGCAGACGCTCGATGTACTACTGTCAACTACAGTTTCGCACCCCCTTGCGTGTCACGTGAGAGCTCCTCGTACGCCCCCCTCCCCCTCTCTCTCCCTTTCTCTCTTGCTCCTTCCCTTTCTCTTTCTCTCCCTCAATCCCTCCTTCGTTCTGCTATTCCCCTCTTCTGCCTTTTCTCGGGCGTGAGCTATCGACTCACCCCCGTTGGCAATTAATCGCAGCTCGTCTCGCGCCGGGTCTCGCGTTGTCAGCCAGGATCGTTCCCGCTCTCGCGCGTCCTCACATCACGACGCCGCTTGCGTGCCGTCACGCGCAAGAACGAAGATGTACGACGAACGTATGTATAAGAGGAGTGACGGAAGAGCGACCCGCTCGTGCTACCGCGGCCGCCGCAGCGATCGGTGTGGCTGCGCGGCGCGACACCCTCGCTACTTCGCCAGCGGACCAGCCAGCCAAAACCAGCCTCCCTCTACTGCCTCCCACCTTGCCCTTTCGCCCCTTCCTCGCCCCACCGTCTATCCGCTGCTGACTGGTTGCTGACTGTCCTAGCGAGGCATACGCGTGACCGTGGCACGCGCGTGCCCCGGCATGCGCTTTTGACACGCGCCGCGAGACCAGCACGGGTCGTGAACACCCTTGGCGTCATCTGGGGTCGCGGGTCTGCATCAGTCGAGGGTAGTTCCTTGCGTTCAGCTCCGGAAGGCAAGAGAGTTTCTTTCTTTCTTTCTTCTTGGAGTAATACAAAGAAAGAAAGATTTGATCGTGTTGTAAGATGGAAAATCTGAAAAATTATTAAGCGTGTTGTATATATTTTTTGAATTTGCTTTTGTAAAAATTCGATTTCTCGTAATCGGAGATTATTCATGTCTTCAAATTCTTGACAAATAATATAACAAATATATATATATATATATATATATATAAATTTAACTTAATAAAAATAATTAAATTCATGTAATGTTATATTCATGTAATGTCTGCTATACAATAACATTCATTTTATTTGCAAATGTTTAAATTTATTAGAATGTTTAGATTTATTAGGATTTTTCGTTTCAAAATGTCGGCAATGTAACTGCCTACATAAGAATTTTAAGAACTTTTTTGTATCGATTCACGATACAATTATCATCTATCAATAATACAAAATAAAAATTTATATAAAAAGTACATTTAAAAATTGTTAATAAATAATTATATAACATTATTTTTCTTAATATTACATTAAAATATTGTTAATAGACCACGATAATTAATTCATCGATTAAGTAAAAAGGTCAACAATCTTATGAAAGTTTTATATGGCTGTTAAAATTTAGACAATTCAAAATATAATATTAATTTTATGGCTTATTATTATTTCGAAGTTCCTTATTTAGTATATATAATTTCATTTAAAATTGTATTTTTGTAATTATTATCCATGTTCGATTATTCATGAAAATAATAATTTTAGGAAAAAAAATTATAATTTTGTAGTAATAAATATGATATTGTGTAAATACACACATTAAGAAACATTATCACGAATCGAAAGTTTTATTATCAGTTGATAACATTGATATTCTTCCATTATCTTCGAGCCTCTTTTGATCATCGCAAATCGTTTCGGCACGGGACGTCGGTAGTCTTCAACAGTAGCTTGTCAGGGATTAATCTATACCTATATAATATATACCGACGTACTTTTACGAAAACAATTTAAATCGCACGAGCGGTGCTACGATACCGCGAAACGGATTTTAACATTTCGATTGGCCGATTAGGCAGAACGGTGTCATGGCGCGACAACGATGACCGAAAGTGTGTTCCTCATCGACGAATCGAGCAGTAAGGCCAACATGTGGGCCGTATTTCGCTGCAACAAGGTTTTTGTGATACTATTTCTGCTAAATGTGATCGCCTTCCAAAGCATCGTGTGTAAGTACCCGCCTAACTTATCGCATTTCTCTCGCTTCTGTCACCTCGAGCGGCTCGCATCGACGCATCCACGCGTGCGACAACACGAGTGGTGAGTCGTCACGGCGCGCATCACGTGATTTTCGGCGTGAGATTCGAAACGGAGTCTCGAGTATCAACGAAAATCGTGCGGAGAAAAAAAAATTTGTCTTAGATCTAAACAAATATTCTTATATATAAGCAAGAGCGTTATAATACTCGTTATAGAAGATTTTTAGTCTTTAGCAAAAGTAGCATTTGCATCGACACAGTTCAGTGAAATTTAACGAAATTAAGACTAAAATTTTCTAAGATTATAATATTCTTGCTTATATATATATATATGAAAATATTTATCTTGATTTAAAATCAAATTTTTTTCTGTGTATAATGTTACACCCATAAAATAGAATTAACACGTTTTGTGCCGCATTAATTGGATTTCTTATCTATGCCGCGTAGATTACCGGCGATTTATGTGACATTTATTATATTGATTAAATAAATTATGTTTCATAATAATGAAAAGAAATAGAAAAAATTTTGTAAAGAACGTAGGGCAATAATATTGCAAATAATATCAGGAAATATAACAATTTTATTACTTTAATAATTCTATTAGTTTTTACAAGTAGAATATTAGACGAATCTGAATGAAAAGTCCAGCGTGAATTACTAGTAATCCATGCGGAACGTGTTAAAGGTCATTCTTATGAAGGTTCATGTAAAATGAAAAATTGGAACGATTAACTGTAATATAATATTAATTTAATTATTTATTATTATTTTGACATTTCTCAGATAGACATATTTCTTAGATTATTTGATTTTTATTAGAAATTATATTTTGTTATTATTAATCGCGCTTGATTATTCATGCAACAGATAATTAAATGCATTAAAAAATTAATTTTGCAGCAATGTACAATGATATTATTTTGTAAATATGTATTTTTATTTATGAAGCATCTGTATAATAATAAATCGTAAATTAATATTATATTATATTCAAATAATAAATATAAAATCGAGATATAAAAATCATTTAAAACAAAGTCTAAAAAATATTTTGGACTTTGTGTTGTCTGGAAAATAATTCAAATATTTAAATATTTATCAATAATTGAAAAATGGATATCGATAGTTGGTAATATCGATGGTCGATCAATTATTTCAGGATTTCCAAGATTCTTTTGATAATCACGAATTTATTATTATGATCATACTAGAACAATAAATTAGCTATTAGAAATTTTGGTAACTGCGAATTGGATTTGCAATGATGGGAGTTCCAACTCACGAATTACGAAATATATAATATTGTTTATACAGTTAAATTGTTATAAAAGTTGAGAAATTATTAATTATGACTTGTAATAAACAGATATTTCAGATAATGAGAGAAAATATATTAATTACCGCTAACTTTAATACGTTTGAAATTATTTTGGTCGCAGAATAATCAATATTATATTGCTAAGGAAACAGTTGTAATTTGTCTAAATATAATTTTTATTCATAAAGTAGTAGAAGAAAAATCATCGCTTTTTGCAAGTATAGGTATAGATTGCGATTGAAACGATCTGTACAACGTAAGTACGGATTATTGCTCAACGCTGTTTTCGAAATCCCCGAACGCGTGACATCACAACGCTGTAACTGCTATTTATAATTCACACTACATCTTCCCCATGATCGGCCATTCTCTTGAGTGTTTCCTCCGTGCGTAATGTAACTTTCACGTAAGCGTTTCACGTCGCTCGATGATCGTTTTCACACCATTTTCCCATGATGAGGTGAGCTTCCGGTAGAGGTCGAAGCGAGATATATATCGTTTGAATAAAAACGATCGTCGCCAAGTCTCCGATTTGTGTGTCTCGTACAGATTATCAGGAGCACAAGAAATGGCAGGAGATAAGATCCAAGCTGGAGCCGGTGGTAGCGGACTTGCGGGACGTGCAGGGTCTGACGTACAGCTTGCTGAAGAGACTGGAGGCGCACGGTCTCTTCGTCGAGAACGTTCGCGGGCGAAGTGACGATGATCGACCTGTGATATACGCTATCACGCCAACATTCGCCAGGCCCGTGCAGAAGGCCGAGCTTACCCGGCTCGCGCAGACATTCCTCCACGTCTCCAACTTCCACTGGGTCCTCGTAGAGGATGCGCCGCAAAAAACCGCTCTGGTCACCCGGTTTCTGGAGACGAGCGGCCTGATTTATACCCACCTGTCTGTAGCAACCCCGCCGAACTACAAACTCGGCAGAAACGACCCGAACTGGAAGAAGCCGCGAGGGGTCGAGCAACGGAACGCGGCGCTAAGGTGGCTCAGAGAGAATCTCAAGCCGTCCGACAAGGGCGTCGTTTATTTCGCCGACGATGACAATACTTACTCCGTCAAGCTCTTTCGTGAGGTAAAGCGAAACCTCATTCAAAGAGTTTTCTCAACACGGCACGTTGCTACAATTGTTTTCTTAACGCTTTCATTATCATCCTTTACCTTTGTTTTCATTCCTCCTTTCCTTTTAATTTGAGCGATTTACTTGAAACTGTTCTTTTTATTTTATTCCATATCCGCAATTTTTTTTATAATATTTTATGATCTAGCAAAGATGATTCGATTAATTTCCTGATTAGTTTTCGATTAGCGATTAGCGAATCTTTTAATATTTAGTTTTTCATCTTTCATTTATCTTTACATGTGCTTCTTCTCAGTTTTAACGCCTCTCCTTTTGTGACGCAGTTCTTTATATTAGTTTTGTGTATCTTATTATTGATGCTTTAATAAAACTGATATTATTATTAAATTTAACAATAAGTTTAAAGCGATTTAAGAAAGTCAATTCGCGATAGTTCTCTGCGATTAACTATATTCATGTGAATGCATCAATATATATATATATATATATGTATATATCTCATTTAGATGTAATAATAATTTACTATTTCCAGATGGAGAAAATACAAAGGGTCGGTGTTTGGCCAGTTGGTCTAGTTGGTGGTTTAATGGTAGAGAAGCCTATTTGCGACAACGCCACTAATAAAGTAATCGGTTTTAACGCGGCGTGGAAGCCGGACCGGCCGTTTCCGCTCGACATGGCAGGCTTCGCCATTAATCTCGAGTTGTTGCTCAAGCACAAAGACGCATGGTTTTCGTATGACGTTCAAGGTGGTTATCAGGAAAGTGAAATACTTAGGCAATTAGTTACAAAGGATCAATTGGAACCATTAGCGGACTGCTGCACAAAGGTGTCAAAAGATCTACCTGCCATTTTTTTTGTTAATAACCTTTTAAAATGAACTACTGAAAATTCGTGAATTTTGTGTATTTCAGGTGTATGTGTGGCACACACGAACGGAACCGCCGCAACTAAATGTCGAGCAGATGTTGATTAGAAAAGGTAAACGTTCCAATGTTGGCATCGAAGTATAAAGAAAAAACAAAAGCCTTGTTTATCATCATTTCGTGTAGCGATACTGTGTTTTTCTAATTCTAAGGAAATCAGTGATCTAGTAGATATTATTATAAATTATTATTATAATTATTATAAATTCGTTAATCTTTTTTTCAAAAAAGATAAATCTATGAGCATTAATGATCATCTATCGGGGCCCTATATTTATATATTCATACGTAGAATAATAAAGTGCCATGTGTATAGACGTTTATAGTTATCGGACATAATAGCGAAAATATTGAATAATTTTAGCAACTCGTGTGAATTTGAATCTCGAAATGTTATGTGATATCATGATATTATCATTTCGTCGGAACGAGTTAACTTTTGCCACTCATACGACAACGAACAATTTCGTCCTAGATAGTAAAATATTAATAGTTTTTGACAACAGATTGACAATAAATTCGTTCATATTCCCACTACAGATTCATAACAATTTGTGTTTACATTAAGCTGAGAGTCTGTCGACAGAGTCTGACACGTTATGTCAACTGATTGTAGAAACCGAGCAGGATTTGCGTGGATGAGCAATCTGCTGGCATAACGTCAGCCGATTTGCCGATATCATCAAATATTATAAATATTATTCTGTGACATTTGTTATCTTTCTGTCAAACATCGAGATATAGCAGACTCTACTCAAAATTTGTATCTACTAAGTTTAGCTATCTGGAATTATATATCACGTATCGTTTTATAAAAATGTATCTACGCAACTATTGTAATAAAAAGTTTGAGGAAATATAAGGTTTCTCCATCCATCTCTTTTCTCACTTTGAAAACGTTTTATCTTTTATTTTTCGATAGCACGATTTCTCGTCGCGTACAGAAAAAGCATTACATAAAAAATACGCCTTATATCTACGAAACTTTAATACTCGTAATGATCTTCGGATTTGGAAGATGCGCAGTAATACTTTTTGTGGGAAGCTACTTGTTTTGGAATTTTTGGCAACGGATACAAAATAGCTGGAGGTGCTAGAAAGGGTGACGCGTCTCGCTCGCCGATGCGAAGTGCCGCGCAACATCCGTCATGCGGATGTCCCACAACTTTTATTTATTTCCATGTACATATATATCATTTTTTCATATATAATATATATTCATTATATATATATATATTTATATATTTATATGTATTCATTGACTTACTTGCTAATAAGTACTATATTTGGCAATCTGTCTTACGTAAAAAAGCTATCTGCACGGAAGGCGTGTTTCGCGAACACGAGAAAGCATGCCAGCTTTGCATGCAACAGGTGCTATGATAGTACCCGAGTAACATTCTACTGCTATTTTTACATTCCTCATATTTTGTTTCTTCTTATCTCCTTATAAACGTGCGAATCTCTATTTTAACTCTAAAATTTCAACGGTCAACGATAGTTAATTTTAAAATGTTTAGCGATACTTTAAAAAATTTTTTCTATTTTTAGAAAGAATCTTGTCAATTACACTCGAAGTCAAGGAAATGCTGGACTTGTCTGTATTGCCGACAAAACGCAGTAATTTTTGTATCGCTTTCATTTTTTATTAATCTTAACTTTATTTTAAGATCTGAAAATCCTTTTTCACAATTAAAATTTGTGCATTAATACTTGTGTCTAGCATATGAATTTCGTTTTCATATGAAGAACGAGAAAAAGCAATACGAAAATTTGTTCATATATGTATCATGCATGTTACAGAAATGTATAATAAGTGTTGTGAACGTTTTCGTCGGAGTTCGCTCGTTAGTCCAGGATCCCCTTAACAAACATTTGTAACAATTTTCTTTGCCTCGCTCGCCTTAAATGTATTAGAATGAAAACAATTTTCGAATTCTCGAGAGCTATTATTGCACGACAACCTGTTGCAACGTATGTTACACTCTTTCTCGGATGAATCGACCACATCGATTTTCCGCGAGGACACGTATTCCGTGCTCGTGCGAGTTTCTAAACCTACCAAAACTTTCCTAAAGATTTATCCTCGATACGTCTTACAATTAAGAGAAAACGTTTACAAGCATTTACAAAAACTTATCACATTTTAACTGCGTTTCTTGCAAAAGCCATCTTAAACATTAGGATAAGAGCGATACGTTTCCTTTACTTATATTCGGATATAATTATTATATGGCAGCTTTCTGTCACACACACTCTCGTGAACCGATCGAAAATCCGTCTGACAAGCTTCCCATATCTGCAAAACCTGTCATGGTATAAATGCTACTTGCTTTTGATTATACTATACATATATTCAGAGAAATTTTTAATGTCGAGATAACATGTCGAAATTTGTCAGAAGTTTATATTTCGTACATCGATCGTTCTTGTGACCCAGTACTGTGAGTACTTTGTTGTCAGAATTCATAATTTAACCGTAACTGATTACTGTAATTTCTTTGTAAACTGATTACTATGATTTTTGTAATCTTAATACAGACATACATTGTCACAAGAGTCCCTACTTTTCTTATCATCATATCAACCTCTAGAAAATAAAAAGTATCTTTAAACAAAATTTTAACAATAAAAAAGAAAAAAAATGATACTTAAGAAACAAAAATAAGCTGCTTTTACATCTTACCGATGAGATAACTATAACATTATAAAGTATATATCAAATTATCACAACTAAAAAAAAAAAATTGAGAGCTTTTCTCACTCGAGGTAATATAAAATAAAAGTAGTCAATATACAAGAGTGTTACGATTATACAAACGTACGAAGAACGAACAAACTCGTTATACGGATATGCGAGATTTAAGTAGTAATTCACTCATAATTATAGTGGTCACACATGATCGTAAGACTCAACAAAGAACACGCGCGCATCGAACAATGCACGATTGGTGATTGAACAACGAAAGGGAATCTGATATTTTTCTTCGGCTGCTTGAACAACAATTGGAATTATGATTCCATTAATTTCACATACAAAAGAATCAGTCTTTGGATTAAAAAATATCGGAGAAAGATTGAACGTTACGATCACGGAGTTAGAAAATTACGAGACTAAAAGCGCGTTGAATATATATTTGGCGTATGTATGTGAATGTCTACCGTCCTTCGATTGACAATTACTCCTTACGAAAGACGTGGAGAAGGATGAAATATGAGCGTGAGGAAGTGAGAGATAATAAAATTGTTCAATTGTATGTACAATTCGAAGTTGCCGCGTAAAGTCGCGCAACTTCGTTTAAAAGTGGAGAAGGAGAGTTTCTCTGTTGACGCTTGAAGAATATAAAAGCAACACTCACATTCTTAAACATACTAAAAATAGAAAACCATCGTAAGAGAATCTCCGAGCATTTCATCGTAAGAGAATTCTCCAAGATATCTCGATTTTTTTTTTTTTCACCAATGCTAGATGATAATCTAGTATTAAAATTAAAAAAAAAATCACAATTTTATTACGTTAAAATTAAATTTATTGAAGTAAACTTATCGCTAAATTTATCAATTGCTAAGGAAAAAAAGAGAAATTTATATTTGATGAAATGCTGAAGATTGATGAAATGCATTACAAACATCACTCTATTTTCATGTTGTCCAAAAATACCTCAATTTTTACTTATTACTTTACTGAAATTTATAGCGTTTTCGGCTTTGTTACACTACACCGGATGCATACTAAATTATGATATATATGAAATTATGAAAATGTAAAAATACATAAACACTTTATATAAATAATCAATGGATTTGTCGTATTATTTAGCTCAATATGAATTAATAATTTCAATTATTGAATATATGAATTAATAATTTCAATTATTAATTCATAATTCGCGAAATCAGACGTTATCAAAGAAATGATAAATATTATGCTATTACATTCAGATATTTCATGTGTAAGTGTGCATTAAAGATTCGGTGTAATGCAGCGAGCCGAAAACGCTATTAGATATGTCAGATATTTTTATTAAACTCCCTGCAAGCTTGGGCAATTTCGAAAAAAACTCGTGAGGAAACTTCCAATAAAATATTCAGTATTAAAAAAATTGTCTAAAGTATTCTATGTAACCTAACACCTTTCTCTAACGAATTGAAGTATTCGGGATGTTATACCACGAAGAATACGAGCGTTGCTATTTTTTTTTTTTTTAGGTAACCCTTAAATATAATACTCTTCCCGAATGAACGTGAAGTTCTTCTTTTTCGCTTTCACGCGCAACAGAGTACGACTTTCCGCGCGGTTTTCTTGAAACTCCGCGCAACAAAGAACGTGATACTACCCAGCGTACTAGACTGTGATAATCTAAAGGGTGCCTCGAAGCGTTCATCTAAATTGATCAGTCGACCTCTACCAATTGCAACGCGAATTTTTGTACATTCTTCTTGCCATCTTCTTCTTCTTCTTCTCGAGTAAGCGACCTACCTATACTCCCCATTTCCTTGCAATATACGTTACAATTATAGTCGTAGCTTCTTCCTCCTAAGAGCAACAATTATCGAATAAACTTTGTTTACTTCTCGTTCTCGTAAGCTATCGATTATCCGTGCCTCCTTCGCATGCTTCGGCGAGTACACTGACTGGGATAAAAGAGTTTAAGAGAGTTTTTAAAAGTTTTTTGCTTTTATGCGCTTCAAGAGACAAACCTTCCAAACGTGACATACTCCGACGATAAAAAAAAATACCTTGGATCTAATCTTTTTGATGTTATTTTTTTCGAGCGATCTTGCGATGGTCAAAGAGCTATTAAAATATATTCCGATCAAATCCGCTTTCCGCTTTGGAATATAAATCTTCGTAATGTCTCAGTTGAGAATTTTTTTTAGCTAAAAGCACAGCGGAGGATACGTCAAGTTTCCAAAGTTTGCTTCTTCGCTTAAGCGGTGGTTATAGCCTTACCTTACACTTTACGAAATCAGACGTGCAGCCGGGATCTTGCGGTAAAGTAATAGGCGAAGGATAAGTTCACCAATAGCAGAAAGAGCTTTTCAGGGGATTCTAGGGGAGGAAGTGTAGGTGGCAAGTGTATCGCGGTACACGAGGTAAGAGGTTCTGAAAGGGAAGAAAGGCGGGTCGGTGTGCGACTGCGAAACCGCGCGCGCGCGCGCGTTTGCAAAAGGGCGAAAACGAAAAGCGGGAGGTTCGGCAGAGAAGACTCGGCGCAGCGAGAGAGCAAAGCGCGTGAGACCACGTTTCCGGCGGAAATTCGGCGAAACGGATCGCTAAATCGTCCCACGTCTTTCCGCGATCACGCTCGTTGATAGAGACGAACCGTGATCCCGCTGCTCTGCGCGTCCTTCTTTTCGCTTCTTAATTTTTCCAGTTTCTTTTCTTTTCTTTCTTTTTTCTTTTTTTTTCTTTCGAGAACACTTTTTTAGCCAGAAACTGATTGCGTTTCCGAAAAACGATTTACAATCTAGTACGCCGGAAGAATATCTAGACGGCCGAGTCCTTGCCGACGAAGCCGGTCTTGGAGACGGATCTCTTGCCGTCGAAGGTGACGGAGGTCTCCCGGCGCAGTCCGGAGTCGATGATCGGCGTGATCTTCTTCTCCTCCTTCAGCGGCTCCTTCTCGTCTCTGCAAAAGCGTCAGGCACAACATTTGTCGGACGGCAGTGATTTTCAACACTAATATCTCTAATATCGGGCAAGGAAAAAAAAAAAAAAAATAGGAAAGAAGAGAGCACGTTCATATGCGGCGCGTGGTGCGACATCGAATATACACGTCAGGCATGCTGTCACTCGCAAAGTAAAAGAACGTCGCAAGTGAGAAAAGAGGCTCCGGGGAAACGTGTCTCTCTTTCTCTCTCTCTCTCTATATATATATACGAGATTGTATGCAATTTTTCGATATCGATATATCGTTAAATCTCCGAGAGATCTGCGCTTATTTATGGTTCCGGGAGCTTTGTTGCTGTTCCAAACATGGATCAGCATTCAAGTTATCGAGCGTGTACGTGCACAAAGCAAGGAGGATATGAAAGAAGATTTACCTTTTATTTTTTTATAAATAAATCTAATCCGAATAATAAATATTTAATTAAATATATTACATATATTTCTCATACTACTTCGAGCAAGCTTTTACACAATTCTAAATGCAATTTTAAATTGCCTCGTTTTTATTAATATATATTTATTAATATATTTATTAATGTAATATATTATTAATATATATTTTTATCATATATTTTTTCTAACTTGTGCTTTGCGCACGGTTTTTAGGAAATAAACAATGATTGAACGAAATCTTCTATAAAAATCATCGAAACTATAAACACTATTGAGCGGAAAAATTATTTTCTTCATTTTTATATAGTCTATTGAAGTTTTTAATTTAGCAAAAGTAATTAGAAGAATGTATAGCTATATGATATGATATGTAGCTGTATATGAGATATCAGAGTATAAAATTTTTGTAATTATATAAGATATAAATTATATTTATTTATTTTTGTCATATTTTCAGAATCCAAAAATTAATTTCTTATATATTTCAGTTATATGGCATTAACTGTCCCTTTCTTTACTAATTCTGTTTTTATTAATTAATATCACTTCCGCTCAAGATATATCGTCATCATGTTGTAATGATTATTTACTCGCAGTGCTATTTGCGCTTTGTTAAGCACAAAAAAAGTGGCAAATCGAGAAGATTCGCCATACTTGTTGCAATATTGTGCGGAACGAATTAGAGAGAATCAAGGGCAAGGCGTTATTCCAAAATTGGCATGCGGCATGGCCAAAGCTCAGGCGAATATCGGCGATCTCTAAGCGCGTTACGACGGAATTAACAGCACTAAAGCGTGTCCACTCGAAAAAAACCGCGTCCGATTAAAATGCAAGAGTATAAATAATTGTCTATTTTTAACAATTTATTCGGTATTAAATTATTCACAAGCGATAAAACTACCAACCAGAGAATTAAGGCGATTATTAAGATAATTCTCTTCTTTTCATTTTTTAAAACAAATTCTGATGAATAAATCAGTAAGCGATGGAAAAAATTAATGTTTAATGCTTCTTTCTCTTTATATGTATTCACGGTATTCACGGTTTTGACTTAAAAAAAAAAAAAAA